TATATATATATATATATATATATATATATATATATATATTGGAGATAACAATTAACAATCATAAATCCATTAATAATAATAAATCCAGCATTTGCCACATAAAGATTAATATATTTTCTTGGAGCAATTGTAATATTTTATTATCGTCATATTATTTTGTTTTATTAATATTAGCATATATTAGCATTTTCATATTTATTTTTATTATTACTATGTTTCGTATAAGTTTTACATTTTACTATGTTTATGTTTGTGTTTATTTTATTTCTATGTTTATATTTAAGATTATAACATTATTTCTATGTTTATATTTAAGATATAAACATAAGATCTAATATGCTATTTTTGAAGAAGATTTAAATATAGAGAATATATAAAATGTACATTTTCTTACTTATATGAAATATATAAATATGTATACTGTTCTATCATTTTGCACCATGCACTTTTAAAATTTTAAAAACAGAAACGTTAACTTTGTAAGAAAATGGTTACTAACCTTTGTATTAAATTTGTCACCTGGAGTAGATGGTGTAATACTACGTCTTGGACTGTTATTCTGATCATCTATCGATCGTCTCTCACTATTGTCATCATTAATTTGATTTGAAGTAACAGTAACACCCATTTTTACTTCTGCTATTAAACGTCTTGCTCTTTCACGTAATTGTTGCTGTCTTTCGTCATCATTTTGACTCTATAAATTATAAAATAATATATTTTTTACTTCAAAGAAGAATTTTGTTTTACAGAACAAAAATAGTATAAAATATGTGAGGTTAAATGAATATACACAAAATCATAACACTGAAACAAAAAAAATAAAACCTCAATAGGATAAGCAGCAGTAGAAATAAGGCCAGTTGATTTTGTATGATTCCTAGCCTGTTCTAATAGTTGCCTGGCGCGTTTTCTTAATTCGTCATGTCGACTGACTAATGGCTAATATAAAAAAAAGAAAAAAAAAAGAAAAATGGTAAATTAGTTATGGCACTACAAAAAAAAAGAATTGGAATATATAAAAAAAATAATTACATGCTGAGAACGTTGTTCCCCTTGCGGTGATGATACACTTTGATATTCTGTACGATTTCCTTTTTCACAAACATTTACTGAATCCTGTAAAAAGATGCATTGAAATTAATAAATTTACTGAAAAATTAAAATATTATTCTGTAAATAAAAATATACATAAATATGTTAAGAATATAATACACGTAATAAACATTAATTTACAGCATGTACATATGTATTTTTATATAATTTACATAAACTTATATATTTTTTCATTCATATGCAGTTGAATATATCCGCATCCAAAATATGAATATAAATGTATGTAAGCATAAAAATGTTAAATAGCATATCAAAGCATAATGACAAATACATTTTAATGAGCAGACATTTTTCATAATTTTATATAATTTAGTAGAAATATAAGCGTGCGGATAGAAATAATAACATTAATTAACCATTGCAAATTTTTAATATAATTTTGATCAGAACATTCGTAAGAATTATGAATTTTTAGCATGTTAAACACTGGGTCGATCACCAGTAAGTAACAATGTAAAATAAAGAAAATGATATCTTGATATTAAAAATTAAAATTTAAGATTTTTAAGATTATTTATAAAAATATAAGGCATGTCAAACGAATTAATATAATATGTCAAAAAATATCCGTGCATTATTGTATAGATAAAATTTGCCCATATATAGAGAATTATTAGCATTTTGTACTATTTAAAGCAATTCCTAATTTTTACTATATTTAAAAAAAATTAAAATCAAGAATATAAAAGTAAACATCATCCTCCAAAATAAGTCTAGGTAGACTGTATATTTTTCTTTTCACAATAATTTTTCACGAAGTTATATAATTCAACTATCAACAATTTTTCAATTATAATTTACTAATCCTTTAATTTTATGACAAAGTATACAAAAAAATTAAATAGAGATGTATTACTAATGCGATATATAAAGCAGATAAAATTATATAAAATTGAAATACTTAAACATTTAAACATACTGACATTATGAATTGGCGTTTCTGATTTGTTAATTGAAATTGATTGAGACCATTTTTCATCAATTATTTGAATATTTTCCTCTTCTTCATCAGACCCAAAAGGATCTGTTAATTGTCGACGAGTCATTAATATAGGACGCTGCTGTGCTTGTGATATTCTTGGTGGAGATTTACTCTGTGTATGTAATTAATAATAAAATAATGTCAATCAATCTTCCTATCCAATATATTCATTTCATAGTTGATTTACATACTTTTTCCTTTTTCATTGATTTACATACCTTTTCCCTAGATGAATATTTTTCTTTAGTTGGTGACAGTACTTTCTCCAGAATACTTTTTGAACTAGCTAATATAATATCTTTAACATCCTTAACACTTGATGGCGATTTATCCTTATTGCATTGATCGTGATCTTGATTTTCCATATTCAAACTTAAATGTAATTTATTTTTTAAGGAATCAATATTAACATCTTCTTTTTTGTTATCAAATGGATTTGAACTAAAGAAAATGTATTTTTATTCTCTTTTTGTATTAAAGTAAGTCAAAAGTAATTAAAAATATTAATAGCATAATAAAAACATACCGTCTATTGTTATCAGTTTTATTATTTTTATGTTCCATTTGATCTTTCTTACGTAAATTAATTATTTCTTGACCAAATAATTGCACACTTACATCTGAATTATTGTCTGTATTAAATCTTCCAATCATATAAGATGATTCATCTGCAGTTTTACCTATCTGATGTACCTGAAAATATGAAATAATTTTTTATATAAAGAAATGATTACATCCACGTATCACTTTCTAAATACTTAATTATGCATGTAATTCAATTACTAACATATAATATATTTTGTACATTTTATATGTAGTATAATATACTTTGTCATAACATTCAATTCGACTAAATATTCATGAATGTATATTATACAGCATAAAAATATTGAAATAATGAAAATGGTAAAAAGTCTATTGTAATAATCTATTTTATATTTTTAAAAAAATTTTTTCAAATTTTTTAAGGCGTTTTTTTTTTGTTACTGTTGCATTATAAATATATCTTCATATTATTTTTTAAAATACTTAATACATATAATATAAATTTATAAATATTTAATATTCATTCTATTAAAAGCATTTATATTATATATCTAAAAGTTGAACTATATTATAAATAACATATAATATAAAGAAAATATTCATTAAAATAAAATTATAAAATCAAGTTCGCAATATTTTTTATAAAATAATCTATATGAAGTAGTATTGTGCCAATAAACATTCTATATACAACTTCATTATAAAATAAATTTGTAATTAATAAACAATTATTAAAATAAATAACCATTTCTAATTAATTGTCGAAAAAATATTAAATCTTTAAGTATGAATTCAACGAAGTTAATGTTCTTTTTCTTCTTATTGTATATGAAAATGTATATATATATA